GGCTCCGCCGCCGGCGGTGGCCAGCGATGCGACGCCGAAGTTCAGCGCTGGCCCTGCTCGGAGGCGACGCTTGTCGGGCTGCTCGGAGGCGACGCTTGTCGGGCAGCTGCACAGGCAGAGCAGGTGGAGGAATAAAAACAGGCGGCAGATGTGATTCGAGGTGACCTTGGCGTGCGAACGCGCTCTGCCCGGCCGCTGGCACGTGCAGCGCGTAAAAAATGGGGCCGAGGAAACCCGTCTTCCTCTAAATCAGGGCTGAAGATGCAGAGAGCTGATGCCCATCGGGTTTCTTTTTTCCCCTCTCCTTGGAAGTGGGAACGTGCCAAGAGCAGGAGCTGTGCTTTGCTTTTTAGAGGTCTGGGAGAAGGGGGAAAGCCACGTATCCAGAAGCACAGCTGGGCTGAGACTCCAGGGTCCAGCGGGCACCGTGGACGCCACAGCTGGATCCAGCTTTGGCTCTTCTTTGCCCGGTGCCACATCCCTGCTGCACCCGCCAAGACGCAGAGGGTGGCCACCCCATGAGCAGCCCTTTGCCGGCTCTCGATGCGTGCCCGTGCTGCCTCCTAACCACCGCACGTGTTGTATCAAACCTCACAGAGCGTAGCTGAAAGGGTGGCAGTGGAAAGAAAAGTGAAAATGGGAAAGAACCAAGAAGCCAGGCCGAGCCCTTATTTGATTTTCCATTTCCTACAGCTTTTATTCACTTTTCTCCGGGTTTTCTTCTCTTTTAGCACAGAGTTACGCTGCCAGTAAAGTAGTATTTAAACGTTTCCGTGGTCAGAAAACACAACTCTGCCGGTTCAGTGCATTAAATCGGCTCAGGGCATGGTTTGAGGAAAGCCATAGTGTGGTCAAGACCTGCAATGCTGAGAGTCGGGGGCGGGTTGTGCCAGCCCTCGCTTGAGTGTGTGTCTGTCTTAACTGAAATTAGGGGACCTGAAACCTGGTCGGAGGGACAACGTGATTCCCAGAGCTTTCCATGAGCTTAATTTGGCAGACGTTGGGTGATTCTTCCCTGTCCCCCACATCCCTCGCTCAGCACTGTCTGGATGAAGTTACAGTGACTTTAAACCCCACTAGCACAGCAGGACCCGTCTCCAGCATGACCAAATCCTCC